TGTCACTTAGCAAGACAACAGATGTTTTTGTTGTGTATGTATGTTTGTATATTTGTTTGTCTGCCTGTATGTATGTATGTATGTATTTGTGTGAAATAAATCTATATTTATATTTGTGATATGTAGGCTATTTTTGTTTGTCTATATATATATATATATATATATATATATATATATATATATATATATATATATATATATATATATATATTTGGTAATAGACTGTTGTTAACGCAACATTTCAAAAATTCAACACTACTTTCAACATTGTTCAACTTTTTTATATTTCTTTTTAATTTATTAATTTCAGAGAAATTAGACATTTTATTGTTTTTTAAAAATTTTTATTAAATAAATTTGGAAATAGTTATTCGCAAAGAAATATAAAAAAGTTGAACAATATATATATATATATATATATATATATATATATATATATATATATATATATATGACGTGATGTTGTATTTTATCATAGTTAATGTATATTGTATATCCATATAGGGCGTTTGTATGCACGCAAATGAAAATCTTTATGAAATAAAATAGTGCTTCGAAAAAATGTCATTTCTCCGAGTAATTTCTTTACTCGTTTGTCCATTTATTCGTCTATTCATTCGTTCGTTCGTTCGTTCATTCATTTTTAGTTTCTTCATTCAATCGTTCGTTCATCCATCCATTAATTCATCCATTCATTCATGTAAGAATTCATGTAAGCTAACATCTATCCAATCGCCAATTCATCAAATCAAGGATTCATTCGTTCATGCATCGTCTATCAATTCATTCATCATCATTCATTCATTCATCATCATTCATTCAATCATTCATTCATTCATTCACTTCCGGCAGTCACTCAATCAATCATCTCGCCCGACATCAATTCAGCCGCCAAAGATTGCAGAAAGTTTCTTGGCAACAGTAGTCGCAAAATGCCAAGGTCGCTTATAAAATATTAAATTATGAATTAATAATTTAGTATAATTATAAATAATAATAATTTAATAATTATTATTATTATTTACGTTGTTGTTGTTTCATGGACAAAAAACGAATGAATGAATTAGCGAACATTGATTGAAAGATGGAATGAATGAATGACTAGATGAATGAATGCATGAATGAATAAATGAATAAACGAATGAATGAATAGATGAATAAAAATATGATTGAGCCATATATAAAAATTTAATTCAACTTAATTTAAAACGGTCGAAAGCAGCATAACTTGAATTAAATCACCAATTTATGACGAATAAAAAGAAAATGATTGATTGAAAAATTCGCTGAATGGAATAATGAAAGAAATAAATGAACGAACGAATGAATGAATGACATTATGAATGGAAAAATTAAAGATGACAAAGACTAGGGGGGTGGACAAACTACGCCCCGAGGGCCACATGCGGCCCGCGAGTTCATGTTCGCCAAAAAAGAAGATTGTCATCCAGACATTATGACCAAAAAAGGTGCCACAAATCTTAAATACTTCTTCCCCGGGTCGAAAAAATTGTTATTTAAGTACATATGCGGCCCTTCAAAGGTAAAATTGTTCTCAATGCGGCCCTCACAGCAAAAAGTTTGCCCAACCCTGACATAGACAAATCAGGAAATAAATGAACCATTGAAAAAATGAATGAATGAATAAACGAATGAATAAACGAATGAATGAATAATTGAATGAAAATTCAGAACAATATGATTGATGGAGAAAGAATATAAAAATAATTTGTCCCTAATCTTTCGTTTCTACACCTAACATCACCATCATCGTCGTCGTCGTCGTCACCATCGTAACGTCATCATCATCTCCGTCTCCAGTATCATCATCATAACCAACCGGCAATTTCATTATCTGGAACCTTTCATCGGATTAGGGAATCCAGGATTAGGAAGATTGCCGGGATTAGAAATTCCCTTTCCAACATTACAGATCTTTAGTAGTAGATGCAGTAGCAGCAGCAGCAGTAGTAGTAGCAGCAGCAGTAGTAGTAGCAGCAGTAGTAGTAGCAGTAATAGTAGTGGTTTTAGTTATCTATTTAAATCACTGAAGCATAGGTACGTCTGAATGTTTCTTCTTTCACCTACTCCATGTTTCGTCTTCACATGTTTTCGCCATCTTTTTTCCAGCACACTTTCAATTGCGTTGCTTCTCGCATTTCTATCATCTCTTTCTCTCTCTCTCCTTCTCTCTCTCTCCTTCTCTCTTTCCTTCTCTCTCTATCTCTCTCTCTCTTTCTCCTTCTCTCTCTCTCACTCTTTTTGTCACTATCTTCCACGTTTTTCTGCATTCGCACTAAGACATCTACGAAGGGTAGATTTCCTTACGCATATTGAGATACGCACAAACAGACACACGTCAACATAGATAGATACACACGCACGCACACACACACGCACACACGCATACACAAGCATGCATGTATACATAGTGCAAAAAGGGTGCAGTGCTATTAACTGGTCACAATCACATCAGAGGGAATGAGAACAGAAAACAATTAGAAGAGAAAAAAAAACTTTTTGAATTATGTAGCAGGCAACAATGACGTCATCATCGTCGTCATCATCGTCATCATCATCGTCATCATCAACATCATTATAATTTTTGTCATCAGTGTTCATCATCATCTTAGTCACAAAGTACGAAATGTAATTTTCATCAACATCATCTTATTCCTAGTCCTTCTTCAAAACATTTACAGACACACACACACTTACACACTCACACTTACACACACAAACACACAGAATGGAATATTATACAAACACAATTAAAAATTAATGTAAACAAATTTGTTGAAAACAAAAAGAATATCGTCGTTCGTTCGTTCATTCGTTCGTTCGTTCGTTCGTGTGCCCGAATGCTGGTACATTTCAGTCTAAAAATCAATGCTTGCAATGAACAAATAACTGCAGACAACAACAACAACAACAGCAACAACGACAACAACTATAATGAAAAATTTATTTTTTCTTTTATTGAGGTTACAACTCAAGTCTTGAGTTATTCATTGTATTTATATAGAGCTGAAATACACGTACACACACAAACACACACACATATACATACATACAAACACACACACACATACACATACATACAAACACACTCATACACACATGCAAACGATCAGGCAAACAAACATATATAAAAAAACACGAAAAAGGCAACTATATTGAACCAAGTAAACAATGGTGAAGTAGAACGGGAAAACATCAACCACAACATCAACAACAACAACAACAACAACAGCAGCAACAACAACTCTAATCATAACAATAACAATAATAACAACGACAACAATTGTATCAACTGCAGCAATAAACATACAACATAGCGAAGGAAAAAAAAATCCAAAACAGCCATTGAGAACCGCAATAAACGAAAATAATAATTCATAGAGAGAAGGAGATTTCATAAAGGCTGACATGATCACAATGCTTGCATAGAAATGTGGAAGGATGTATGGTATACTTTCCTCTTAATACAACACACACACACACACACACACACACACACACACACACACACACACACACACACATATAGGCACCAACATAGACACATACATCCATGCTTACATAACATACACGAAAAGATGCCGTATAAAAATGCTCTAGCAGAAAAAAATAACTACAGATAATATAAGCGATTCATTTTATGATCCTGTCATAAATAGAAATTCACGTTTGTCACAAGTACGGCTTCATGAAGAAAAACAAGCAAACATACTCACAAACACACATACTAACATGCACACAGACATGCACACATCTACGTATGTATGTGTGTATGTAGTTTGTGTGTGTGTGTGTGCGTGCGTGTGTGGTGTGTGTTTGCAACGTAGTATTGTATAGAATGTGCTTTGCTTCAATAGTTGCCTAGTAACAAATTGTATCCATTTATTGTTGGTGTTGTTATTGCAATTATTATTATTATTGTTGTTGTTTTTGTTATTTTGTTGTTAATGTGATAACTGTCATTGTCATTTTTGTCTTTTTGCTTGCAGATTTGAGAAAATAGAAGCTTTCATAAGTGCGTTCGTTCATTCGGTGACACGTGACATATATACATAGATACATGTATGTATTATACATATATGAGAAACTACCGATCGTTCATAAAGGATACAGGAGCGAAACCAGACGTGGTGGTGCAGTCGGCATCGGCAGACACTGTTGTTCTGGTCGAACTGACTGTACCGTATGAGGCTAATATTGCAGCAAGCCATGCGATAAAAACAGCCAAGAAGAGCTTGTTAGTGAGATAGGACAACGTGGGTTGAGGTGTTTGTTGTACGCAGTTGAGATCGGTGCAAGAGATGTTGTTGGTTTTTCAGTGTACAGCTTTTTGAAGGATGAGGGTTTGGCGGAAAAAAGACGATCGAATTGTTTGAAAAAACTGGGACTCACAGCCTAACAAGCGTCTTACTGGATAAGGTTATGTAGGAAGAAAAAGGAATGCGAGTTTAAATAGTTAACAGACGAGCTTGTTTGAGCGTAAAGCTTCCGATTATTCAACAACCCCAGATTCGGCTCAACGTTTTACTTGGCTCGTCGATATAACTCACATTGTGATATGTGAACTTTCTGGCGCGCCTGCAGTTTTACAGTATAGAAGGAGGTGATTTCAAAGCGAGGCAAATTGTTTGTTCAGCGAGAGACATCCAATTGATCTCTGGATGTGGCTTGTTTCTCGAAAGTGTCAGGAAGTTAAAGGGCCGAAACACTCGTTGACGGAATCTCTTCCTATGAAGACTCTCGTTAAACAATCATTATGTTCGAGTTTCTACATACATACGAATGCACACGTAAAATAGTAGTACTATTGTTAGTAGTAGTAGTTGTAGTAGTAGAAGTAGCTGTAGTAAAAGCATCAGCAGCAGCAGCAGTAGTTGTGTTGGTAGCAGCAGCAGTTGAAGTAATAGCAGCAGCAGCAGTTGAAATAATAGCAGCAGCAGCAGCAGTAGTTGTACTACAAGTAGTAATAATATTTGTAGCAGCAAAGTTTTTATGCCTCAATTAATTAGATAACTAAGACACCTGATTACTGATCCTTACAAAGTCGAAACAGCCCGAATTTCGTCCTCATTATTTTATTTTATTATTTTAATTTTAATATATGTTTTACAACCAGTACTTCTCGCCAAATTTATCTTTGCTTGTAAATTTCTAAAATCTATGCGCCCATCTTTGTTTTAAACCTCGATCTTACTTTAAACACAATTGTAAACATAGGATTCGATCGTTTTTAGATTAAATTAGTTCTGGCTAACTTAATCAGGTAATTATTTTTTAATTGTACGGTTATCAAAAATTTAAAATCTAAAAAATATGGAAAAGATGCACGAATGTAAAGATTTAGATTTAACTAAAGCTTCGCGTGGCATTTGGCTTGTCAAAGTTGGTAATTTATTAATTATTAAAATTAGTGAAAAATGTGATGATTTCCTTATTTAATAAAATAAGGAACTCAAGAATTAATAAAATAACGTGTGTGATGATAAAATTTAGAATAAGTTAAATTAGTTAAATTAAATTAGTAACATTAATTATTAATATGATTTTATTTTATATTTTTATTAGGTGCCAAAGTATGTTTCTGACAGCTGGGCGAATGCAGCTCCAGGAAGTGAAGTTGGTAAACTGAAGATGGGCAGCAAATCAAAGTTATTATACGAAAATTAGTTAACAACATTAATTTATTTTTATTAAAACTATATAATTTCATTATTTATTTTTATTTACCATTAGAAAAATTAATTTATGAAATTTCTAGGGGAATGAAGGATGCCATCTTCACTATCAATAACCTGAACTCAGATAAATCAGGGAAGCCAGTCCCCCGAGATCACCAGTTTAATGTTAAGAAAAACTTAGGAGATATAAACATGTCATTATTGTCTGTGCAAATGGTACCTGCCGATTCAACTAATCCCAATTCTCCGTTAATAGGTAAATTGATCATTCAAACATTTTCCATAATCTAAACATTTTAGTTTAAAGTGCCATTGAAGAAAAATTGAATTATTTAAAAATAATGATTGCAGTCTTAATATTTTTTCTTTTCTACAGCTGCCGGAGCAGCGGCCATTGAAGGAAAAGTAGTACACAGGTGCGAGTGTCGACCGTGCATCAATGAAACATACATGCAAATGAACAGGAAACGAATCGAAGAGGGCAACAAACCAGAGAGACAAATTATTCAACTGACCAAGGCCCAAAACAACTACAAACCTAAAGCCAACCATGAGGCTAATGTTAGTATTATTAGTGATTTTTCATTAATTTTCATGATTGGTTCATTAACATGATTAAATTTAATATTTTTGATTCACATTTCAACCCCCGATAAACTTAACAATTAATAATTTAACTCAGATTGAGTACGACCTGAAGAAGAAAGAGGAGGGAAAAAAAATAAGGATGGACAAGGAAAGAGTTATGGAACTATTGTTCAATGCCTTCGAGAAGTTTCAGTATTACAACGTTAAAGATCTCGTGAGGATTACACATCAGCCAGTGGTTTGTATTTTAACTATTGTACTTCTACAACTATCTTTGTTTTATTAAGTCATAATTGTTTATTTTATCTTTGTGTTGTCTTGGTATAACTAACTAATGATTAATAACTGTAATGATAATTTTCAGACCTACCTGAAAGAGATCCTCAGAGAAATGTGCACGTACAACATGAAGGCACCTAACAGGAACACCTGGGAATTGAAGCCAGAATTTAGGCACTACAAGACTCAAGGACAAGTCGCCTCTTCTTCTGCTACTAGTAGCGTCGCTAGTAGTAAGAAGTAGTAGCAATTAATGAGCTATTTGTATATAGTAATTAGATTTTGCAGTAGCAGTAGTTTGTAGTAGTGGTAGTAGTAGTGGTAGTAGTAGTAGTTGTAGTAGTAGTAGTAGTAGTAGTAGTAGTAGTAGTAGTAGTAGTAGTAGGTTGTAACGGTAGTTGTTAATATTTATTTTATATACTGATTAGTAGTTGGTCGTAATTTTAATGCCGTATTCGTATGTAAAATTTCAGTGGGTCAGCCCTTGGTAACATTTAGAGTATTTTATTGTGTAAATAAATTAATTAGCAGATTGTAATGTAACGAATTGGCTGATGGAGTCCATGATTACAGCAGAACCCCAACCGCCAACATATTAACAATTGCTTATATGAACCTTTGATCTATTGATTGCCTTTTAGTTGCAATTTTCAATTTATTTCGAGAATGAAATCTCATAAAACCCGCGTGCAATTGTGTTAACATTTTTTTTTTGTTATTATGACCGCAACTTATGTTGGAAAAGTTGAATTGTTTGTAATGATACAGATATTTTCCCCATCTTCACTGCTGTTAGTATTAATGATGTGATTGAAGTTGTTGTTGTTGGAATTGAAGTTGTTGTTGTCGTTGGAATTGAAGTTGTTGTTGATGCAAGTTGCGTAATCATTGTACCCATCATTGGATGTACATAATTCACTGTTGTAATAACTGCTTTCATCATAATTAACGTTGCTACAAGAAATGTTGAGGTCATTGTTGTTGATGTTGTTGCTGTTGTTGTTGCTTAAGGCGTTTATAAGTTCTCTCATCATGTCGAAGCAATATTCGTACGATAGTTTCATTGAACAGTAACATCTAAAAATGTAACGATAATAATAAAAATAATTATAATAATAATAATAATAACGATACTCATAACAATTGCAACCGTAATAATAATAATAACAAATACGGAACCGACTTGTAGAAATCTTTAAATGCAATAAAAAATTCGTCGATATCTGCTATGGTCGCTTCACAGGATGATCTGCACTGCTTTATGATTCTACTGCTCTTGCTTCTGAAAATATGATTGGTCGGTCGGTTGATTAGTTGATTGGTTGGTTAGTTAAATGAGTGATTGACTGTTTAATTGAGTTATTTCAATTTGATTGGTTGGTTGACAGGTAGATTTTATTTTGATTGGTTGAGGATGGCTTCATTTTAATCGGTTGCTTGGTTGTTTTATGAATGATAGGGTGCTAGAATAAATAAATGAATGGCAGGGTTTTTAACAATACTAAAATACTGTATCGCTAGTGACGTGTTCAATTTTTCTATTAGAAAGGGCTTTCATTTACATCGCGTTATGAATGTAACTTTTTTAATCGAGTCTTTAAGTATTTTTTGAGTCCGTGATATTTGGTAAGGACCATTATTGATTGACTGAATGAATGAGTCATAAAGGAAAATGACCTTTCAAATTTATGAATCTGTTGTTCGTTGTACGTCAGCTGGTTGCTACACTTAGCTTGCTCGCAAAATTTTTCATTCACAGCCGACAGGTCTTTCGCACACCTTTCCAACTTCTTTATTCTAAAAATCAAATTTTCAAAATTTATTTATCTGTCATTACTACTAATACCACTACTACTTCTTTTTCTACTACCACTACTACTACTATTATAATTTTTAATACTTTTTCTATACATACTCTTTTTTAGAAATTTTTTTCTTAAATTTGGCAATTTTTAGTTTAGCTCGATGTACACGATTCAACGATTCCGAATTGAGCTTCAGCTCAATTTCACCTCTCAGCTGGTTGAACCGATGCTGATGCCCCGGAAATATGGATTCATTATCGTAACCATGGCAACCAGTCGTGCCATTGTTATTATTATTATTATTGTTGTTGTTGTTGTTATTATTATTGTTGATGACGGAAAAGTTGTTGAAATATATCTGCCTGATAAGTTGAAGGGTTTCTTTTAATTTGTCAACATCCGATGAGAAGGCATTCCTTTGGGGAAATGTAATTAATAAATTAGTTAATCAATCAACCAGTCAGTCAACCAACCGGTCAGTCAACCAACCAGATGACAGAAGTGAAAATGATGGATTGATGTACAGTTTTAATCTTCACCGCCATGATCCTAATCAGTAGGTAGACATACGCCGAACACTCTTGCACGTACACATAATCACTCAGGAGTGTGCACTCGGATGGAAATGATGATGACGACGACGATGATGAAGTTGCTGCTGCTGACGACGATGACGTAGACCGCGGGAGAGATGGGGCGCTAGGAAGAGCTGCTGCCGATGTTAATGATGGCGACGATGACGCAATGAATTCATTTTGCAATAAATATTATGACTGTCATATAAATAGCTAAATTATTCCAAATTATTCTTACTTTTAATGTTCAGCCAATCGTCATCAGCGTACCGACCCGGATGAATAAAATGTAGGTCACCGTCATCATCATCACCGTCATCATCATCATTGCCATCATTGTATTTCGTATTAGTATTAAGCCCCGCTCCATTATTCGAAATCCTTTTTTCTGATTGGTTAATAAGGTCTTCAATTGGTAGATATGGATGAAGCAATTGAATTGCATCGGTTGATTTTATTATCCGGTTGGCCAATAGCGCGTCATTATAACTCGAGATGCTGGGGATTGAATGTCAGGAATTGAAATAACGTATCGATATTCGGCCACGACGACCGCCACCATCATCGTCATCATCATCAAAAACATCATAATCTTCACAAACCTTTTCAAATCTTCTTCACAGGCATAAAATTTTTCGATAACAAACTCATTAACAACAAAAATATTCATCTTTCTTAGTGACGTAATTTCTTCTGATTTTGCAAAAAACTGTTCGAAGTTTATTTTGAAGGGCGCGGAGGTTTCTAGCAGGTCGGCCAGCAGTGACGTGAGTTTTCGTTTCAATGCTCTGTCAGAAGATGATGAGACTGACATGGTAGAGTAGAGAAAAAGAGAAATGGAAAAAAATGAGTGATAGAGAGAGAAAGAGAGAGAAAGAGAGAGCGACAACAGTACGAACCTGGAATACAAACATGTACTAGGTAACTCATAGGACCATTGAACCTCGCCTCCTTCGACCAACTGCACGCCCGAGATCACTCCACGCTTCTTCGACGATGTTATTTGGTACCTAGACCAAAGTAACAAAAAAATAATAAGAAGAAGAAGAAGAAGAAAAAGAATCAAAATAACATTGATAATAAAAAAAACCGCATCAAGCGAAAACGACTGATGAGAAACTAACATAGACTCCTTAGATTTTCTACCACCGTACGGTTTAAAGGGTAATTTTCCGGTGATCACGTGATACAAAGTGACCCCTACACTCCAGAGATCTATTGAAGCGTCAAAATGATCTTTGACCTCCCGTCTTTTGTGTGGTAAGAGTGCATTTGCATACAAATTTGGTTCCTGCGTATTAAAATGGAATATGCATTGCGTTGCATTGTATAGGATCCCTATTTTCATTATTACTATCATTCATAATTTCCGCCTAATTCCTAACCAAATACTCTTCAGTGCCGTATAGTGATGTGAAGTGATCTTCATCTTGTAATATTCGGGCTGCTCCAAAATCTGTCAACTTGTATTGGACGCTGTGTAATATAAGTAATATATGCCAGGCAAAAAAGATGAACAATGAAAGATTATAAAAAAAGAGAAGACCTATTAAAAACTGTCAGAAAGCTGAGATCTAAAATAATGTATGCGTATTAATAATGAAGCAAATTACTGATTAGTGATTGAAGAATTAGTTGGTTGGCCTACCTAGAATCAATTCTTATGAACCTTAGAATGTTTCCTGGCTTGATATCTCTGTGGACTATGTTGTTTTGTCTCAAGTACTTCAACGCAGATGCTGATAATAAATAATAACTAATCATAATTATAATTATAAATAATATAAATATCAATAATAATGTTTAATATGAAAAGAGATATATTATTTCATGTCAATAATTATAAATAAAATCCAGCTTCAAAGATAAGCTCAAAATTACACACTTATCACAATCACAGTGGGAAAAGCCATAATATCTGAAAGTAACCAACTGATATCTCTAAGAAAGATAAGAAACTCCTGTTCGGAGAGTCCATATTTGTATTGGGGGGTGTCCAGCAACTTGTTAAGACTTCCCCCTAAACAGACTTCCATGATTAGGACTTTTTCTTTTGTATTGCTCTGGATGGGAATATATTTTTCAAAATTTTGAAACTAAATATATTTTTTTTAGTAACTTTCATTAGAGGTGATGTTTCAGTTGAAAAACAAAACAAAACAAATGTATCTCTTGTTTTGTATGTAAATTTGAAATAAAAACTCCATTTCACTTTTAACTAATTATTATTTTACAATTAGTTTTTATTAATTTTTACTTTTTTACCTCTAGTTCAATGTTTATAAACTTGACAATATTTGGATGATTTAGTTGTGACATCACTGTAAACTCTCTCTCCTTATGCAAAACTTCAGCTTGCTTCAAATTCTTGAAAATTTTCACAGCCACTGGATTGCCTGTTTTCTTGGGAAAAAATATAAATAAATATCTTGTATTAAAAATACTCTTTTTTTCATAAAATTATCTTTTTTTGATCCATCAAAATTTTTTATCTAATAATTTATTCAGCATTTATTCAATTAAAAATGAAGTTAAAATGATTTTATGTTGAGATTAGAATTTAATATTACAACTTATACACCTTGTTCCTGCCCATGTAGACAATAGCAGTGGCTCCTAAGCCCAACTTTTCGTCAGTGAAGTAGACATGATTTTCTGTTCCTCTAGTACTCATGATGGAATGGCTGATGTCAACATTTCAATCTTCTGAATTTAGTTTATTATTTAATATTTATTTGTTGATTTGTATTAAAATGGATAAAACAATTATTTTTATGTACTTGTGCCAACAATACAACAGTGTGGAACTTTTTTCAAACAATACCAATATGTCAATTATTATTATGAGAAATGATTGATATTTTTTTTATACTGTCTCATATCAATTAAGGAATTTATTTATTTACATATTATTATATTTATAATATTTGTGGTTAGCAACTGACACCTGTTGTCTTGCTTACAAACTCTGGGAATCTCTGTCTAAGTCTAATCTTGACTTTTTTAATTAAATTTGAACAATGAAGCAACTAACATCTAACTAATTTGAGCTAATCATCACATTCAAAATGAAATGCATTGTCTGACATTTACTGTTTTTCATCACCATGAAAAAAGTCACTGAGATATCCCAATCTATTATTTTATTATAATAATATCTCAAATCAGCCGGCACCAAATGGAATAGAACCAACCAAAGCAACAACAAATGAAAAAAGAACTTTAAATTTAAAAGTTTAAAACCAACCGTTCATTACTTCCTGCTTACATGTTTTTAAAGCTTAATAATGTAGTGATATAAATATAAAAATAAATTAGAGAAATTAGCGAATCTATCGTTCGTGATTTGAATTTATTTATTTGTTTTACATTTTATGACAAAATACAAACAATCTATCGAAAACGGGAATACCAGGAAATTCCCAGCGAAAATTTTACCTGTTATATATATATATATCAAATTAATGTTTTTCCTAAATTTTTATAATTAAATAAAAACTTACAATACATTACAATATTTTAAAAAAATTTTATTTGTATAATTTGGATCGGGGGACCATGGACATTATTTATATTCATGTCGAAGGGGGGCTCTACCGCTATAACTATATTATCTATGCTTACTGCTTGCAATATAAATAAAAGTTGTGAGTCGCTTATCGCTCGTAGTTCGGTTTTATTTTGAAGTTATTTAAATATTCCGGGCGCTTTCGTGAAATAGTACGCGATATTATGCATTCTGAATCAGAATTACAAAAGCTAAAGGTTGGATTTGAGTTTTTTAAAAAATTATGATTTAAATTACTTACCGGTAACGTTACTATTGACGATGATGATTTTGTAATAAAATGTTTGATGTTGATCTTTGATGTTGTTGTGATCATATCAGGATCGATCTTCCCAATTTGAATTTTGCCTTTTCTACTTCGCTTCGTTCTTTACAGGTGGCCGATTTGAAAAAATTGTGCAAAGAAAAAGGCCTCAACCTCTTAGGAACTAAAAGTGAATTGGTATCAAGATTGCTTGAATTTCAGAGTTAGTGTTTCGTTTTGGTTTTGCTTTTGTTTTCTTGTCCTCCTTCCTACTTGTACTCTACAGTGCATTTAATTTTTTTTACTAAACACTTTCAACTGACAGATGCAGTGTCCAACCAATTCTAGATCTTGTTTATTTATTTTATCTATAATATAATATAATAATTAAATAATTAGTAATTTTTCTTTATTATTTTTTTCTAAATAAAAAAAAAATTATATATCACAAAAGATGCAGAAGAAAAAAGTTCAACTCAGGTAACACCAGAGTCGAACACTCCTCAGGTAGGGCAAGTGGCGACAACAGGGATGAAAAATGGGACCAAGGAAGTTCATGGAGTTGCTGCTGCTGCTGATATTGCTGCTGATATTGCTGCTGCTGATTCTAAAAGCACTAGCAAAGCGTAAGTTCTGATTAGCCAGATTTTTATAAATTTGATTTAATTTCTATTATAAAATTATATTCAAAAAGTTATTTGATTGGTCAATTTATTAAAAGATTATTTAAATGGAGTAATTTGCTCAGTTGTTTTAACTTATTTTTCAGCGATACAACAACTCCCACGCAGCCCGCCGTGTCCTCTGACTCTCAAGAACCCAGCAAACCAAAGATCAATAAAATAGAGGCACCTATTTCCGGGGATGTGCAAGCTAAAAATGTAATTTTTTTAATTCATAGAATTTGTATTATGCTATGTCCAAACGGTTTTACTCATATTAATTAACTTTCAGTTAAATTTTACATGAATTTTAATAAATAATTTATTTTTAGAAACTTGAACAAAGAATAAAAAGGTTTGGAGTCGTTTCAGAAGACACTAAAAAACTTGTCAGAGCAGCGAGGTGGGATTTTTATTATTTAATTCTTTTTGTTATAACAATCAGGTAATTATAACTTTGTCTTTGTAATTTTTTCCATTTGTAACAGGTTCAAGTCTGCTGATGCAAGTGATAGTACAACTGGGGTAAATATTTTAATATCATTATTATTCAGTCATAATTAACTTTCATAGAAAACCATTTTCTTTTATTATTCATTCATAATTTAACAGCAACTTTTTTTTAGCTAATAGTCAACAATTTTTTTCATCACAATACTAAATGTTTCTCTAATTTAGACTGGCGACCAAAACGTTCTCAAGAAAAGGGCCGAAAGGTTCAACATAAAATCAAAGGTTGGAATTTTGAAAATATTTGTATTTAATATTTTAAAATAATAATATAATATTTGTAATATATTAATTATGACTGTGCACTCACTCATTCATTCATTCACTCATTCATTCATTCACTCATTCGTTCATTCATTGCAGGCAAGCGCAGCAGCTGATCCTGAGGTTATATTGAAGAGAAAGCAGAGATTCGGAGATGTCACTATTGCCAGCACTTCCGCTACTACTACTACTATTACTTCTAAGGTTGTGATGATGATGACGGTGATGATAGCGATGTTGATGACGAACTCTAAAAAATGTAAAACAGGCTGATGATAACGTCATCCTGAAGAGGAAAGCAAAATTTGGCGATGTAAAGAATCCATCAACCTCTTCTGCTGCTGTTGTTGGTGGTGGTGACGTTGATGTAGGTTTATTATTATTATTATTATTTATGTATATATATATATATATATATATATATATATATATATATATATATATATATATATTATTGATTAACTTTTAAAATTCATTTTTTTTTCACAGACGAAACGCCAGAAAAGGGCTGAGAGATTTGGTCTAAAGAAATGAGTGGCACTGATGATGAAGACGATGAAGATGCTGACAGATGAAGATTACGATGATTGGATGATAATGATGAATGTGATGATGGTGATGATGATTGAGTATGATGATGATGATGATTCAATGAATATGTGATGATGATGATGATTGAATGAGTACGACGATGATGATGATGATGACCAATGGTGTCACTTGCAATGATGATAAACTAGTGACCTTAACAATGCTAAACAATGTTTATATCAACCATACCTAATCTAACAGTTTTGTCTTAATGTATATTTTTAGTTTAATTATATATTCACGCTAATTATTATTAATAATTTTATTATTATTTGTTTAATTCATCTTTATTATTATTATTTTAGTTAACATTTGTAGGCAGATATAATGGGTTTATACAATAATATTTGTGTCGTAAAATATTTATTTAAGCTATGTGTAAGTTGTGTTTCTGTTTCCCGCTCTTTCTCTCTTTCAATATATATATATATATATATATATATATATATATATATATATATATACTGATATACATATGTCTGTATTGTATGAATTGTTGGCGTTAATCAATTTAAAGTTTGTCTTTTCAGTTTTTCTTACTAGAATTTTTTGAAAATTGTTCAGTTTGTTGAAATAGAATTATCCAAGTTCATCATTAAAAGTTAATGAAACTGTTGTCATCCGAATTCATAACGCAGATAAGACTTTATTTCGATTCTTTACAAATTATCTTCAGTGCAGATTTGGCTTATATAGTTTGATTAATGCCAACATTTCGATAGAATTCATACAATACTGTTTAAAATATGGCCCTCTTCCAACATACATGAATGTATATATGCATACATATTAGAACTCGTGGAAAATGATGAGAAATAATATGCAAATACAGAAAGGAGTTTGATTTCATAAGTTTTGAATCCGAAATTTCAAAAGGATGTATCAGTAATTCACTAATTTCATGATCATTATGAGAAAATTAGTCGTTCAAACTCGTGAAATTCGTTATTTAATGTTTGTTGTGACGATTTTTTAACAGGGATGGATACTTAAGCCCGAAACTTTTAACAAATTCGCGAAAACTTGTTCAACAGACCTTTTACAATATTCTCTCGATGTTCTTTGATGTGTTATGATATGGTTCCAGTATATACTATATAATACAAACATACATACAAACAAGCACATACATACATACATACGGGCATGCATACATACATGCATACATACATACATACACGTTGACCATCCTGCAGAGCATGTGCTTGAGATATGCAGCTCCTTAAAGATGTGCATGATAACTATGATGATGCTGGCGACATAATATAAATAAATAAATGCATACGTACATTCACACATACATACATGCATTCAAACATTTTTTAATTGCAAAATTGTTTATACATATGTATATATATCTATATTTCTTCACATATGTGTGCACTATATTCTTGTGTTTACCTACATACACACATATACGTACATCAAATACATACACATTCGTATGTACATACATACATACACATAGTTATAGATACATATATAAATGCACGCATACATACAAACATACATACATATTTAAGATGAACTCTTTTAAAAGGCACCAACAACAACAATGTTTTACGATTATTTAGCAATAATTCCGTATTAGAATTTCAAACATTATCTTAATTTGTAGACTTTAGTAACTTATTTAAATGCCATAAAATTGTGCTAATAATATCATTTCATGGTCAATTATTTCAATAATAATGAAGTCTTCGATGTAAATTATAACGATAACATGTTTATCATGGATAGATTGAGAAGCATATCATATTGTTTGCCATTTAGAAGAAAAATTTGCCACAAATTTGTACACAACAACAACATCAACAACAACAAGAAGCATGCAAACATCGACGAAACGACTACTGCCAACAACAACAAAGCAAAGCGTTTTGATTATCGTCCGATATATCGTGATGACGATGAAGACGACGATGATGGTTATGGTGGTGGTGGTAATGTAGATGATGATGGTAATGGTGATAATAATAACGAAGGGGATGATAATTATTATCCTAAACTTGGTTTCGCTTCGTTCAAACCGACGAAAATTTTTAAAATAAAAAATATACGCCAACTTCATGCCGAAATCCACTGCGCCGAAACTGACAACGTCAACAACAACATCAACAGCGTTAATAACATCAACAACAATAACTTAGCCAACAACATCCACAACAACAGCAACAATTGTTTCAACAGTTTTTTCTTTGGCGGACGAAGAAAAATCAATAACAGAACGCACGGCGCTGACATTAACAGAAAACATGACGCTATGATCAACAACAACATCATCATCAACAACAACAACAACATCGGCAACAGCAACAAACTCAACAAATCTTTACTGAGAAAAAGATTAAAAGTTGAAAGAAAATTAGAGAAATTAACCCATATAACGGTTCGTTCGCTGGTTGCCTTGTTTTTTGTTCTATACTTAATGTACGTGCAACTCTTTAAAATATCCTGAACCAATTTTACGCTGCTGTGTTTTTCCATTATTTCAGAAAAAACTATTGGAAGATCTCGATGAAGCTGATAGCAACAGCGTCGCCGGCTACAACAAAATTGACAACACCAACAACTGCAACAACTACATACACAACCACAACAACTACAACATCAACAACAACATCAACAATTACATCAACAATTACATTAACGCCAAGGAAAGAGTCGAGGCTGACTCTGGTAAGAGCAACATCACAAGCCCTTCGGATATCAGCGCAAAATGCAATTGCACTTCAAACTCTAACTGCGCAATTATCGGCCTGAATGTTAATAAGAACGTACAGAACAACAACAAAATTGATAAACACAATAATAATAATAAAAACAATAATAATAATATTAATAATAATAATGATAGACAGAATAATAAGAGTAAAAATGGCAGAACCAACCTGTGTGCTGGCCTCCATGGTAACGACGACAATGGAAAAAATATGAAAAAATACTATAACGATAATAATAAGAATAATAATATTTATAATAATAATAATAATAAAAATAACAACAATATGCGTATTTATAACCATAACGTCAATAAAAAAATACGAGAGGGCATTTTCGTTCTGGATGCCACTAACAACAGCAACAACTCCAACAACGATGACGATGATTGTGGTAATAAAACCATGAAAACCACAAAAAGTACTAACAAAAATCACGAAAGTAATAATAATAATAACAATAAACCCAATAATAATGATGATGATAATAATAATAATAATAAAAGTCCTCTAAGCGAAGTGAGTTGGTGGTTATAGTTTAGCGTTTTTTTGTTTCTTCTTTATGTTTTACTTTGAATAGTTTCATTTACTTTCATCATATTCTCACGCTTCTAATATATATAATATAGATGATGATGATGATAATAATAATAGTGATGATGATGATAGTAATAATAATGAAATTTACTCGTTACAGTGCGCCATATGCCTGTCGAACGTAGCAGAAATTAAAACGCACCCATGCAACCACGTCATAGTTTGCCGACGCTGTTTCCTGTTGACAATCAAAAACGTCCTTGACGAGAGGTCACAGAGTTCGTTGACCTTAATGTGCGTCCTCTGCCGGCAGAAAATTGTCAGTATCGATGACGTCATCTAGATTGCAAAAACTTCCGGCCGACATTTGTGGAAGTATTAATGGTGGTAAAATTAGTACACTAAATTGTGATACACGAATAGTAATAGTAATGAGATTAGCTGTAGTAGCAGCGTCGTTGTCAGAAATTTTTTGTGGGTAGGCTAACATTTTTTAGGAAAGAAGATGGCGACTTATTGCTGCTTATTCCACGTTTCATTCCATATTTTCAATATTGAAACAAGTATTTTGCAAATTTACTCAAATTTAGCAAAACAGTGCGTTTCTTTAATATACTCCAACAATTTTAAACCAAGATTCGTAAAATTCACATGGAAATTTTGTTAAATTTAATTTTAAACCTAACAAAAATTCCATCGTAGAACGGCTTCCTCGGCTACGCCTCTGAGTGGTACCAAGTAGAAAATAGCAGTAGTAAAGTAGTTGTAGCGGTAGTATTAGCAGGTGCAGTTGTTATTTGCTATTAACAATTACTTTTGTGCCATTTATTACATATTATTTCATTTACATCCAAGTTACATTTCCTAAAACTATGAGCTATATATATGTATATATATATATATATATATATATAGAGAGAGAGAGAGAGAGTTATATATAGTTATAAGTATATTATATATAGTATAATTGTATAGCATAGTATTTTGATAACTGCCGTTTAAAAGTATTTTCCCTCAATTATTTTTCCGTATTTGTTAGGTGTTAGGTAAAGAATAGTTTTATTTTACTTATATCAAGATAATTTTATAAAATACTTTTTTTTCATTAATTTTGTTCGAGAGCTAAGAAGCAATATACATTTTTTTTAGTGTATATTTCATCCGCATAAATATAATTAATTAATTTTATAACTTATTAATTATTAAATACAGATATAGAATATATATATATATATATATATATATATATATATATATATATATATATATGTTGGAAGGAGACCACAAATATTAATATAGATATATGTGTACGTGGTACATTGTAAGCATTATAAATTGTGTAAAAGTGTGGAAAACAGTTGAAAATTTTGTGTTTTGTACGTGTTAATACGATTAAATTTACTATTATGTTTTATAGTTTTCATTAAAAATGACTTGCCAAGGATGTTAAAGACGTAAAATCATTGAGTAATTGCATAGTTGTTTAAAAATTAAAGTTTCAAAAAAAAACAGAAAAAATTAACCCCCTCATGATTTCTTCTACTTCTTCAGCGGAAGTATTTAGTTGAATTTTTCACGGAACAAAACAATCGAATTATCAAATAAATTCATCATAATTCTCTAAAAAAAATTGAAGATTGCCTATTATTTTAAACTTTCTACCGTTTTAAAATTCTGCAAATTTCGTGTTTTTATACTTTATTTCGGTTTACACTGAATTCATCTGACCTCGCAAAGTAAGGTTTGTGTTGTACTAACTAGTAAAAATAACTACTAAAATATTTTTTAAATATGACACTTTTCAGTTTCTAAAAGCCATTTATTCACTAATTTGTTTCTAGCTTATTTGCAGCAAAACGAATTACTGGGCACTCAAAAACTAAAATGCATTTCAATTCTTTACCTGGGGTCCACTTTCTATATTTAGTTTTTATTAGATAAAAAAAAATAGTTGATACAATTTTTTTCTTTTAAAATCTAGATGATGGGTTCACCGACGCCGTTTGGCTCCAATCTATATGGTCAATTATCAGGTACAGTATATAAAAATATATTATACCAAAACGTTTGTTTAAATTTTTGGTTTACCCTGATCAAAAAAGGTGCAGGAAACATGGGTTTGCAGCAGAGGGTGCTAGGCAACCCGTCATTCCAAGTCCCCACAACACTAACAAACAACATGGGCGTGAATTCAAATTACCATCTCTCATTACAACAGGGTCAATCCTCTCGACCACAACCTATTTCACCCAACAGGTAAATTATCAACTATTTTTTTACCCCTAGTTAATTTTAATTTAGATAAACCATTACATTTATACCTACAACGGAGGTTGTCAGTATAATTTTTCATAATATTTGGTTATACTATGTGGGCTTTGGGTTCTGGGATATTTTTTGTAGTTTATCTACTTCAATAATTTTTTTATGAATGATATTCGCAATCAATTTTGAGTAATTATTTAACATTATTAAATAACCAATTAGGGGAATGTTAAACATGTCAGTAGCGTCGTTATCTTCACAACAGAACATCAACCAAATCAAACAAAGATCCAACCAGCTACCGAACAATCTTTTAAGGTGAGTTCACACACACATACATATGCTTATACATACATACATATACACGTATACATACATATATACACATACACACAAATACTTACATATATATTAATAATCGTTATAGTTTTCCTAAATGTTTGATTCCCCCCAAAACAGTTCGAGCAGTGCACTAACAAATATGAATAATTTTTCTCGACAAATGAGTTAGTAGGATATATTAATTGTTATTATTACCGTTGTTGTTAGTATCATCATCATCGACATCAATTTCTTAAACACCATTGTCGTCATTATTTTCGACAAACGTGTCGTCTTCACAATCATCGTAAGAATGGCATTTTATTTTGGTAAATTTTTGCCATTTGTTGTCCAGGCGACGTGAACCACCAGGGTCCCAGCCTAGATTATTCTCAATTTCCATCATTAGGTGGGAGGAGTGCAGCCCAAAATCAGATATTACCTACGCGAAATTATGGTTGGGTTTTTTCAGAGTTGTATTGCTATACCTTTTTTTAAAATTAAATTTCGTATTAGCTAGATCAGTTGGATAATTAATTAGTCAATCGTTCATTTATTAGTTTATTTGTTCATTCAATCATTCATTCAATCAATTGATTGATTGACTATTCAACCAGTCAATTTTTTTATTTCATTTAATTATCCGATCATTCATTTAGTCACTCTATTAGGCAATCATTTATTCAATTTTCAATCAATATCAATCATTCTGTCAATTAATCAATCAATCATTCATTCACTTGTTAATTCACTCATTCATTCACTCAATCATTGAATCAATCATTTCATATTCCTATTCATTCAATGAAGTGAACATGGTTAGTAAGCAGGAACCGACGCCTGAGTTTCAGATACAGCAAGAAGATTTTCCAGCATTACCCGGCACTCAGAGTGAGTTATGATGATGATGAGGATGATGTTGGCGGTAGTGGTGATGATGGTGTTGGTTAGAATTAGGGTGATGATGATGATGTTTGGGATAATGATGATGATGTTTGTGGCGGTGATGATGATGTTTGTGGTGACGATGATGATGTTTGTGGTGATGATGTTGGTGATGATGATGATGCTTTTGTTATAATGATGATGATAGCGATATGTTGATGATGATGATGATGTCTACAATTTGAATTAATAAAATAAATATTTTTTTCACTCAACATTTCGCAGATACTTCTGTTAAATCGGTTGGTTGGTTCATCGTTCATTCATTCACTCGAGATTATTATTATTAATGCAAGATATTGTATTCATTTCTAACGTCCCTAATGAAGTTTGTAGAAAGATAATTGTTTTGATACTGTTTGCATGCAAAACAACCAGGGCTTGAATCTTTGCTCTTTGTTACCATCATCTGCTTCCATTCATTATCGTCTTCTTTAGCGTCATTTCACGGACATCATTCTTACTCACTCAGACAACAGGAGTAAATTATGACGCGGCCATCAAAGACGCGGGCAACAGCTGCAAATCATTCGCCGACAAGACGATAGGCCAGTCAAGGAAGGGAATACAAACGCATTCGGATGGTTCGTTCTTGTCTGTCTGTCTGTTTGTTTGTTTGACGTTGTTGGATTGTGTTTATTTAAATGTTGCTGTTAACTTGCTACTAATGTTCTGGTTATGACATTAAACTGACCCTCACTGCCTTGTGAGTGATGTTGGATCATCAAAGGCTAGGCCCACTGCTTATAACTGTGGTTGCGTAAGGAAGGGCGTCCTGCTTAAAATTAAGCCAAATAAATTACTTATGATGGAATGGCGTTGAGGGGTATTTCGGTTTCATCATAGGTAGCCAAACGGCAACCCCCGATCTCGGGGAAAATGTCGTCTAAACGTGTGTTGTTGTTGTTGTTAACTTGCTACTAGTAGAATCTTTTATTAATTCATTGTCTAATTCAGATTCAACACGCTTATACACACACACGCGCGCCCACGCACACGCATAACAGCTAAACAAAATACACAGCTACATCGATCATTATGATCATGATAATCAGTCAGAGTTATTTATTTGTTGTTGCAGGTACACTGACGAACGTTCCGAGTGGAATGGTTGGCGATCAGTTTGGCATGGTCGGCCTACTAACATTCATAAGAGCCGCCGATACGGACCCTAACTTAGTTGCCCTCGCTCCTGGAATCGACTTGACAACGCTGGGACTCAATCTCAACCAATCTGAGTTGGTTTTCTTTCTGGTCGGCTGTAGTTGTTTCTGTTTTTGATTGTTTAAAACCTTTGCTAGCTGAAGCTACTCTTGTCTTCGTCGATGATTGGTCGCTTGATTGTATTATTGCTCAGTTGCTTGGTTGATTGATTGATTGATTGTGAATGAAAGAAAGGTGAAGAGAGAAGATGAATAAATGGATGTATAAATTAATGAATGATGCTTATGTATATTGTTACTTGATGGATCTGAACTTTAAATACTCCGTTTCTACATTCATTCATCCATCCAATTAATCTAATCGTTCTTTCACTCAATCAATTCGTCATTCACGCATTCATTCATTCATTCATTCATTCACTCTAACAATGCAGCACCCTGTATACATCGTTTCAGTCACCATGGTCTGAACTTCCTTGCAAACCCCAAGATATCGGTGAATGAATGATTGAGTGAATAAATGAATGAATGAGAAATGAATCACTAAGTTATGATCGTTATTGTAATCATAATTGTCCTTAAACCTCACTCAGATTACCATGTTCCCAATGAATATCTCACCAATATTTTTGTTAGAGAGAAGCTGGCTCCACTCAGACTGAACCGGTCATAATCATTACTCTGAATTATCATAATATTTATAATAATTACGATAATTTGATTTATTATTTATAATTATATTTACTACTACTATGTAGGTATTCTGACGACTTGCTATTCTTCCTATTTTACCTGTACAGTGGTGATCTACTACAGTTAGCAGCTGCTGCTGAACTGTTAGTGATGCTTGTTTGTTTGTTTGTTTGTTTGTTGGTTAGTTGGCTAGTTAGTTAGTGTCTTTAGAGAGGCAGTGCCAGCGTGAATATGTGTTTCAGGGATGGGCTGATGTTTTTTTTTCATTTTCGTTACTGTCTGCTTTCTTGTTTATTTGACAAGTGTCGTCTATTCTTGAAATTTGTATTCATCTAAAATCTTATCATCCCATTCTTTTCATTCATGCATTCTTTTATTAATTAATTTATTAATTAATTAACCTGATTAATTAAATCATTCCTTCATTCAATTTATTAACCATCCATCCTTTGCGACCTTGCCGCGATCCAGATACAACCGAGACTGGAGGTACCACAAAGATGAGAGGCTGTGGATGACACGAGCTCCTGGCATGGAGCCAACCGTGAAGACGAACCAATTTGAGAGGGGAACGTACTTTTTCTTTGACGTCAACAACTGGCGAAAGGTTCCTAAAGACTTCCTACTGGAGTACAACAAGCTCGAGGGCCAACCCCAGCTTCCTGAAACCATACTAAACAGTCATAACGGCGTGAATAGTGCTGGCACGACTAATAGCATGGTGAACGCTGGCGCAAACAATTCGACTGTTGTCGGAAATGTAGTTGGGGCTGGGGCCGTCAGTGGTACCTCTGTGGGAAATTCTTCGGCATCTCTCGTCGTCGGTGGTGCAAATGTTGCCGGGAAATCGAGCTCGTAGTCCGCGTGATGGTTTTGATTGATTGGGCAGGGATGGGACTGGCGAGGAAGTTGATGTTGCGAGAGTCTTGCTGTGAGCATTCTGACTGGTTGTTGGGTGTCCTTTTGAAGATGGCTGTTGACTGTCTCCGGCTGATTGGTTGATTGCTCGCTTGATTTGTTCCTGATTTGGTGGTTTCATTTGTTTTATCAGTTTGATTGGTTAGTCAGTTTGAATAAACAGCTATCGATTGGACGGTTGCTTGGTTATATATTTGCTGGTTGGTGGTTTGATTATTTAGTTGATCATTCTGATTGGTTGATTGTTCTGATTGGTTGGTTGGTTGATTGATTGATTGGTCAACTGTATATTGATAACTGTTAAATATTCAAGATAATATTAACTTACAATCATTGTCTGCCATCAGTAACATTTGTGTTACTGATCTATCTATGTAACTTTATGTAAGTATGTCGTGTGTGTATATATACACATATACATACATATATATATATATATATATAAATAAGTATGTGTATATACGTGTGTGTGTTAATTTCGAAGGTATGCTTCCATAGTCATACAAATTGTTTAATGTTTGTGTATAGTATATATGTATGTATGTATGTATATATATATACACAAAGACTGGCACATAATATACGTTTATATGTATACCCTTGTATGAATATATATATATATATATATATATATATATATATACATGTATAAATGTACACATATACATGGGCTCACACATATTCATGTATGTATTAATATGTATGTGCGTGTGTGTGTGTGTATGTGTGTGTGTGTGTGCGTGGCACATCGCACGAGTGTCTGTTTCTTTTGTTTAATTACATATTAATTGATAAATGAATAAGCCCAGTAATAATGTGAATCCAATTTTAATTTGTTAAATGTGTGTATGTATATATGTATATGTATGTATGTATCTATTGGGTGTATGTGTGTGTATGATTAATAATTCATCTTGAAATTTATCGCTTGTCCGTTTTATTTCATCAATTTATAATTGTACCTGTATATGCATATGTAAGCATACTTTGGTGAGTATGTATGTGTGTATGTGGGTATGTATATATGTATGTATGTGATGCATGTATGTACTTCATATATGTATGTACAAATATATGTATGTGTGTGTGTGTGTGTGCCTAAGTATGCGTTTATATATGCGTGCATGTAGTTTTAATTATGTTTTCAAAGAGTCAAGTCTCGTTCATACGTTATATTTTTGTTCATTGTTTTCTCATTATCAAAAATAGCTGACGACAGGATGACGTCAGTGGATGAATGGATGAATTAATAAATGAATCAAACACACACATACGTACATACATACGTACACACACACATACGTACACATGGATTCTTGATTAAGTTAGTAGGAATAAAATAATAATTGAAAAATGCTATAATTAAAATCACTTCGTTGATCATTGAACCTCTGTAATAATAATAATAATAGCGATAACATTTGTATGTATGTATGTTTGTATTTTAAATAATGGACATTATTCATTTTTCAATTATAATTCTTTATAAACCAACACAAAAAAAAACAAAGGGAGAACATATTAACATTAATAATAACAACAATAACAAAAATTATTTTTATTATTATACATAATAATTATTATACATAATTTCAGAAATCGAAAAATGGATAGTTATGACGAAACATATCTATCTATCTATCGATCATAAGATCGTCACTAAGGCCTTTATTATTATTATTATTAATGTAATAATTATGTTTATGGATAATTATTATTATTATAGTTTATTATTATTACCACAATCACTACTATTACCCATTCATTCATTCATTCATACATACATACAACTAAAAAGACAACGACATAGAAATATATACTGGTGTGATATATATATATATATATTTATATATATATATAATCACTTTTATTCAATCAAACAAAACAAAAAAAGCATGAATGATTCGGAGACCAAAAAAGAATATATATATATATATAAACATATGGTTTAGTCGGTAGGTGGTAAAAAGAATAATAACAGCAAATTATCATTATTTTCACGTAAATAATAATAATAACATTTATTATTATTAAAATATACGCCATAGGATTGTTGGTAGAATGAAAGAGTCAAAAATATGAGTCAAGAATGCAGTTGTTACAGGAATCAAGATTGAAAACGAATGGAATGAATGAATGGAATTAAAGACTGAATGGAATGAAAGATTGAATGAGTGAGTGAAATGAAAGTCTGAACAAATGAATGTGCGTGCATGTGATTGAATGAATGATTAACTAAATGAATGAATGAGTGGAGAAGTAGATAGATTAAAATGAAATAAATTAAGCCTTCAGGCAACAATTAATAAAATTAACTATCGATAAGTGTTTATCTAAGTACTTTATGATGTTTGAGTATTTCTTAAGATTAAGACAATATATGCATGAATTATTTTCTGTAATATTATCATATAATAATAATATACCATTGTAATCCAACAATGTCAACAGCCTTAATTATTTTTAAGTGCCTTAATGAAAGTAGAGTAAAGAAAATATCAGGTGAGCAATGCATAATACTATATGTATGTATATATAGTTATTTAGGAAAGTCATATATATACATATAGATATATTTTGGGTTTAGACTATCATAAATACAATTATTCATAAAGATCATTGAGTTTTCGGCATTTATTCACTTGAGAATTGAGAACTCAACTACAAGTTGAATAATGCCGAAAACGCAGTGATCTTTATAAAAAATTGTATATAGATATATATAAACATATATATATTTATTTACATACAAGTAACTGCAAAAATACACTTATGAAAATAGCTTAATTACATATATATATATATATATATATATATATATATATATATATATATATATGTGTGTGTGTGTGTGTTTTTCTGTGTGCTTGTTTATATGTGTGTATATATATATATATATATATATATATATGTGTGTGTGTATCTATGTACGTTGGAACACATTCTAATATAAGGAAATATGATGAAATTGAATCAAAAAAGCAAAGAAAATGTAATCAAAAATATATGCACGCGAGCACACACACACACATTGAATATATAAAGTAACATTTAGGATCGATACGCACCTTTTATACGGAAATTAGCGAGAGAAAAAAAACGCGAATTGATATCATCGATACGAACAAATGCATAACATTTTCTTAAAAAAAACACATACTTGATGAGTAAAATCACAGTTTAACAATATTTCTCAAATTGACCAAGCCAATTTGGCCCCTATAACTTTTTTTCCTCCTCAAAATTAGAAAAATAGAACAGGAAAAAACGAAAAAACAAGCACCCCACCAGAGAAGATAGCGTTCTGAAAAAAGAGATCTCTGCTGTCTGTACCTGTCGAAGATCATGAAAGATGACGGGGGCGGGGGTAGAGAGATGAGAATGTGTGTGTACTTCTTCATAATCTTCACTGATTCGACCGTGTATTTGGCAGTGTTCAGACCGTCTCGTGGATAGTGGGAGGGGCTTAAATTGAAGCCACTCGATCTGATTGGTTGGGGTTAGGGTTTTTGTTTAATTTTTTCTCTTTTCATTTAAAATTTTTAGCATTACTATTAGTTCTTGAGGTTTTTAAACGAAAGAACCGATGAAGATGATGGCGAGTTACTCTTACTACAATTACGACTAATTACTACAACAATATAAGGTGAATAAATATTATTGTAATAATTGTGATAGCGAAGATTACTTATTTTGGTTTCCAGGATTTCGCGGATCGGCATGGTGGGGAAACATTTTATACCTGGCCACTGAAGATGGAAATCTGTTGACCGCCATATTCACTGATTTTACCCTAAAATTAGGGAATTTAAAAAAATATTATGAACAAATAATACATAGCTGTTATAACAACCATTTATTGTTACCGCCATATTTAGTTATCCCTATTGTAGATTTATATTATTACTACCGTTATTATTATTATCATTATTATACCCATCATCATCAAATTATTAAAAACCAAAAATAAAAATTATAACCTAAAAAATTGTTTACTGAAAAATGTTCATCGATCGATATTTATTAATGTGCAACATGTGTTCAGATTACTGTCAAAACGATTTTATATATATATATATCTATTTATCTCTCCCTCTATATATATATATAATATATATATATATATGAAATATTATGAACAAATAATACATAGCTGTTATAACAACCATTTATTGTTACCGCCATATTTAGTTATCGCTATTGTATATATGCATATATGTGATGAAATTGAAGATTGTTATTCATTTTATGAATAGCATTCATTGCTTTCATCATTTCATTGATTGTCAATATCAGCAACAGCAGCATGCTAGCAATGCGTAATTATCTTTACCATCCTCATATCCATCATCGTCCTCGTCACTACAACATCATCACATCACCAGCAATCATCAGCAATAACCCTAACCTTTTCAGGATATCATCGTCTTCGCCGCCCCACCCATAATATTCATTAGAGAATCCATTGAATTTTAGAAATTGGTCCTTTCTGAAAGCTGTTGCACCGCCAAATAAACCTTTGTAAGGCAATCTGAGTTGAGAATTCGGATGAAGTGTGATGAAATTGTGATGATTAAACGATGAGCAAGTTATTAAATGATGATTAAAATGATGTTATTTGTGGTTAAATCGTCAAAATGATTGTGAAAATGATGAAAAAGTGAAGAAATATGATGACGGAAATGGTGGAAAAAGATGAAATGTCGGAAAATTCTGACGAAATTGTGAAATTGATGATGCAAAAAAGCAAACATCACCATTTTTAACCAAACAACAGCCAAATACCAAGAAAAACGGACAAACAAACGAAGCCCAGACTAACTGAAAATGGAATGTAGCCAAGAAAGCACCGACATGCCTAGGAATGTCTAGGCAGACATAGAAGTTGGAATATTCAAGAGGAGCCATGTCAACATCGTGGAAGATGAAGCAGTCGAAGTCGTCGTAGAGCTTCATCACTTCGATGAAGCCAGCGTTCATTATGGCTGCCTTGTTGAAGATATCTGGTAGATTCTGTGGTTGGTTGAATGATTGATTGATTGGTTGGTTCGTTGATTAGTTGGTTGGTGCCCACATCTTCAATAACATCAACTACATCAACGTCTATAATAACATCAGCAGCAACAACAACACAGCAACAATTACAACAACATCCGTAACAACACCGAAACCAGCAGAAACAACCGTCACCTGTTCAACAACAAAAATGTTGTAGGCAAGGTTCTGGGTCTTGAGTAAATCGTGAAGTAAATTTACGATAATCTGTGTTAAAAAAGAATGAATAAATGAACGAATAAACAAGATAATGATGAATGAATGAATGAAGGAGATCTAAAAAGTTGATATGTAGACAAATAAAATAGATTTACGAATCAAAATAAATAGCTAAGCGTTGGTTTTTTTTATTGAATAACATTTCATTGCATTGCATTCAACTATCATTCTTTCACTTGCACATTCAGCAATTTATTTTCTTCATTCATTCATTTATTTATTCTTTCAATCAATCAATCACGTCTACTAGCCAACAAACCAAACAACTGAATAAACTATGCGTATATTTGCATATTGTTTAAAAATCTGTTTCACTTTTAGACATTTACACTAATTCCTAATTCACTAAATCGGCCAACCTTAAGGTGGGTTTTCCTATCTCTGTAGGGAATGATGATGGCGGTTTTGTGTCTGGCATTACAGTTGGCTGGCTGCCTACTGCCATCTACACACAGGTTGTAACTATCATCATCAATATCGTCGCTATCATCATCATTACCATCATCATCGTCATCATAATTTTCGTTCGTTTCCTTTTTGTGGTTTTTCAAGTAGAAGTCGATTTTTTCGGAATTGTTGTTCCATTTCGTTAGGACATCGTCTGTTTAGCGTTGATAAACAATAAAAATACAACAAAAACAACATCAACAACAATAACAACAACAATAAACGTGTAACAGATACACAAACAATTACATCACACAGTCATAATTATCTCAAATTTCATCCAAAAAGAAGGTAAAAAATCCGCCAAACCAGTCACACAATTGCATAGAGGCAGTTTATCATTTCCGTATCTATCATCATACTTCCATCCTGCTGAGTCATTCCTTAACAATATCCTCTCATCGTGAAGTATTTTGAAATTACTATCGTTAGTAGTGTTGGTTTCCCTATTGTTTGAAGGATTCTGTATGCTTCTAAATTTAAGGTGTCTATATTTTCTGGTTCTGGTAGTGATGCCTCCTGCTGAGTTGCAGGACGAAATTTTTCTATTTTTACCGACTGAGAATCTATGCTGGCAGTAATCTTCGTACCTGTGAATGGAGATACATCTCGTGTGAGAGATTCCAATGAGAAACGAACAAGTGTTGCAATGATTTCAATCAGTTAAACTACAAATAAGTTTTCGTCAGGTTTAAATTAAATATTTAATTATATATATATATATATATATATATATATATATTAAATTAAATAGATTTAACTACTTAAAAATGGTTTTTGATAACGTTTTACAGTCAGACATTTGACACGAAATACAGAATAAAAATATATAAACGAGTAAATGACTTTAGCCAGACCTTTTGAGAAAGGACTCTTTACTTTCCAGGTAGTCAAGCAGGCAGGTACCATTATTGAAGGTACTGCAGAATTGTGGTAAATTAGTCTCCCAATCGAAATTCCTTATAATCAATCTTACCAAATAATATGTCTCCAGGAGAAGAAGGATGAACAGAAAGACTTGCATAGCTTTGTTGTTTAAAAGCTTAAAACAGTTCATGTTATATTTTAATATTGATACAATCTACACACACACACACACACACACACATATGTATATATCTATATTATATATATAAATAAATATTCAACTTTGTCATTAACGTTAATACTTTTTATTGCTAATAATCATTAACGATCAATTTTTATATGAAAAATCGCTCATATATGTATATCTATCTATCTATCTATCTATATATATATATATATATATATATATATATATATATATATATATATATAGGATATAAATGTGAATGATGTCTCTACATAAGTTGCGTGTATAATAGACGAAGCAGTAGTTGTTGTAGTAGTAATGTTGTCATCGTCGTCTTCTTCTTCTTCATCGTTATCGTCATCATCTTCTTTCGTTTCTTTGCCATCATCATCATCAACAACATCATCATCATCATCATCACTACCACCACCAGCACTTCATTCTGAAATCATGAAGAGATAATTAGATAATAACTTTGAATAATTAATACAATTAAAAATAAGAAAAATAAGAAAACAACAACAACAACAATAATAATAATAATGACAATAATAATAAGCTGTACAGTAGATGAATGAGACAATGATAGCTCAAAAAAAAATTCTTGTTTACATGAAATCACAATTTACCTATTATAGATGAAGTGATTATGTATACATATATATATATATATATATATATATATATATATATATATATATATATGTATATATTCAATAAATTCTACCGAATGTTTAGCGCCAAACATTTGGTAGAATTTATAGAATATTGTAAAAATTGTGGTCTATTACCAACATATATATATTTCAAAATTGTCAGCGAAATTACTGTGAATATAAAATAAATAAATCCTTTTTAAATGATAAAAACAGTGGTGCAATTAAGACACACCATGAAGCAATTATTTATAACTAATATTAAATAAATAAATAAATATATAAATATATATATATATATATATATATATATATAACATAATTTATATATTGAGAGAGTTATTACATAAATAATATAATTATATTTGTATAATTTCTATAATTATTAAACTATTGAAACCTCATTTATACAGTTGAATTATTGCTAATCTAAACTTATAATTGATATATTAAACTTATAATTGATAAGGGTTTTGGTTTTTCCATTTTAATTTATTATATCATTGTGTGTGCATGGTGTGTGTGTGGTGTGTGTGTGTGGTGTGTGTACTGTAACATTGTGCTGTACAAGTACTTGTACTCAAATTAAATTTCTACAAGTTTTTACTTTATAGTTACACATTGCATATTTTTTATTAAAGATACAAATTAATTAAATTATTATTATAAAAAAGAAACATAAAAAATTTAAAATTAAATTAATTAAAGCTAAGATTCTTAAATCTTAATAATTTAGAATTGAGATTTTAAAAAAGTAAACAAAATGAGGCATTGGGTTTAATTCAGATCTTTGAAAAACTTCGCGATAATTAAAAAAAAATAATCACTAACGCTAATTTAATGACATAATTCGTCGCATGTTTCTCAATTTTAAAAATCAATATTACGGTATTATTAAAATTAACTTTTAACATTCAATTTAAAAGTAAATTTTTGTAAATAACACTAAAATTTTCAAGATATTTTTATTACACTTAGAAAGTAATACCTTTATAAAAATAAAGTTAAAGATGGGGATGTAGCTCAGCGGTAGAGCGTTCGCTTTGCATGCGAAAGGCCCCGGGTTCGAGACCCGGCATCTCCAGGTTTGTTTTTACATTTTATTGTTTTTTTAATTAATTTTGTCGATTTTTTTATTTCTTGCATTCCTTACAATCTCGCTTCATTTGTTTAAAAAGTTATGAAAAATGGGAGAGTCCATTTTTTAAAAATTTAAATCCTCGGTAAAAAACAATCAATCTTCGTTTAGTTTAGTGTTCCTCCGAGGTAGGACGTTGTTTTCTTTGCCATCAATTTTTTTTCGCCAAATTAGACGATCAGTTGTATCCATTTCATTTAAATTTAGAGCGTTGATGTCTTGCTCGATTGTTTGCGACAAGGACTTCTTTGGACGGCCTTTGGGTACTTCAACATCTGCAAGAGAAGTTATGGCACCGTTCCCACTTCGTTTGACATGACCAAACCACATATATATACATATATAGTCATGAATAGTTATTGATTATATGCAGTTATATAACACTATATAATAATATATAATCCTATACAACTCTATATAACTATATATACATATAAACAACGGTATATATCATTATATCACTATATATAATCAATAACTCAACATAACTATATATAAATCTATATAACCGTATATAACACTATTTAATAATATATAATCCTTGGTGAAAACAAACACGAGAATTAATATTCAAAACGTTGAAAATGTTGAAAAAGCGTGCAAATTATGCGGAAGAGGCGAGGTTCAACATATTGAAACCTTCCGGATGAACATTTTGGAAACGCTGACCTAGAGAAGGCAAGCACGTTTTCAAAGTCCCTCAAGCCAAGGTACATCTGCCGGCAGGCTGGTAGGTTTGTAGTGCCACCTAGCTTACAGACAAGTGCACTTCGTTCGATTTCGTTGTTTCAAAAGTTGGAAGAACAACAAACACTCTTTTAAAACTTTAATTCGCAATAAAAAGCACGAAAATTATTATTACAGATTGTCTATTTAGTAATCTTCTGTAACGTTCATTCAACGTTTGTAAGAAAATTTAATAAAAGTTTATATCGATAAAAACTAAAAGTAAAACCTATACAATCACTATCTTGAAACACCAGCCAGCAATCGTGATGACTACATAATGTATATACATAATATATATATACATATTGTATAAAACACGAAACTACTAAAAAATCTTTAAAGTTATAAGAAAAGTTGAAAGGCACATCTAAGTTTTTTGAAAAACAATATAGGTGTTATAACACAATACATGTATATACGTATTATACAATACATGTATGGTCATCATGTGGAAAATAGATAAAAAACATAATTAAATCTTAGTTAATATCATGGTTGTATTGATCAAGGATTCACATAATCTTCTGGTTCCGTCCGATAAACATTACATTGATTGTACACACACACACACAACACACACACACATTTAATACATACATCTACAATAAACATACATAATCTATACTACGAATATGTATGTGAAATCTACGGTTATATTTAGCTAATAACAGCTCACCATGACGAAGTAATATAACGTTTATGCTATTTAGTAGAAGCAGGAAGATTAGGGAAGGACCAATACAATTAGCCAGTCAGTAAGTGGATTGGATATATTTAAAGCTTAGTAGAGAGTAGAGAAGTAAATTTATAAGACAGTAGCGACGAAATATTGTAGGACTCCACAAAGAATGAATGTCAGATGAACAAACGCGAAAGTCTTCAAAGTCTTTGAATAGAGAAGTTCATAGAGAGGTGGGGCCCAAAATTAGGGATGTGCAAATACAATTGTTTTTAATAAATATCTTAATCAGGAAATATAAAGAACACATCACTAAACGGATAAAAGATTGAAAAAAAACACAATCATTGCATATTAATCTTTAAAAAGGCACTTAATGTATATTTGTATCTATGTATAGGTATTTGTATACATAGATAAATTATACATTTAATATAATTAGTTTCATATTACTTGATACAGGAAAGGGCATATTTGATATATACATATTTATATATATACTTATATATATATATATACATATGTTGTAAAAATTCATAAGCAAAGTTAAATACTAAATTTGCTGGAAAAGGCAATAATCATACAGCCATATATAAAAGTACATAGATATATATATATATATATATATATATATAATATATATATATATACACAACTATACTACAGTTACTAATACAATAGAAATGTAAAAATCAATGCTTGGAAAAATCGTCTTTGAGTCTTTGATGAGTCTTAAAAAAGCTCTGATGTCAATATTTTAAGCCTTTGTTGTGTAAAATTATACAAACGAACAAACAAACGAACGAACGAACAAACATACACACACACACACACACACACACACACACACACACACACACACACACACATGCATACATACATGTTTTACATTATATACTAAGTATTAAGTAAAATCATCATTAAAAAGCTTGTAGAGAATGGTCTGTTCAAACTAAAACAATTTAAAATAACACAAACACATAAAGATATATATATATATATTTAGATACGTATCCATACGTGCATACATACATACAAACAAACATACATACATACAAACAAACATACAGACAGACATGTACGATTTCATAATCATGACAAGAGAATTCAACAATATTTAATTGTACTCCCATTAGAAGCTATCTCTCCCTTGCACCTGTGCCATTATTTTTTGATTTCAGTTAAGGCATATTAAAGAAGCTTATTAGCTAAATAAATGAATTGTAAAAAAAAATTTTTTAAATAGACATTTAAATCTAATTATAGTAAAAATAAATATTATCATTAAAAAATATTTCTAATAACTATACCTTGAATAATTCATTAAAGTAAATATATAAATAAATCCGCTTTTATTTAAATATTGGATAGAAATATAAAACTTGAGAATGAGGAAATATAAGTTTAAAAAATTTATGTATAAAAGTCTAAATATTAATACTCTAAACTTTGAACCTCCTTGCTCTGATATGACGACGTTCTCATTTCAAAATGAGAACTTTCCTGATTAATTCATCATTAATATTGACAGGCATAATTTTGTGAAGGAGCTAAACTTCATGATAAAAGTAAACCTTATTTAGTAGGGGTTTAATCAAATTATTATAGACCCAAAAGTCGTAAAGATAAATATTTTGGACCCCCACACTAACTCTAAATTCATTAATTAACCAATAAAAGTATCATTAAATAAAAATAATCAAAGCAGTGGAACTCAATAAGTCAATCCAGGCTAAAATACAATAGGAATTAAAAAAAGTAACAGAACGAAAATAAAGTCGGTTTATTCAATCCGATACAATTAATAACTGCAAATGATAAGAAGAAAATATTAACTAAAAAGAAGTAATTAAAAAATATTTAAAAATTAAGAAAAACTTTATACATACATAAACAAACTATTATATATATATATATATATATATGTATATATGTATATAAATATATATATATATGTATATATATATATATATAAATATATATATATAAATAAAATATATTTATATACACACACATGTGGTTTTATGCCCTTCAAATTATGCGAAAAACTCGTTATGTGCCTGTGGTGCCTTGGTGTATTCGATGTTTTTGGATTTCTTCTTGAGATTCTCGTCCAGAGCGTAGCTGCCCTCGTCCTTTTTACGGAGTCGATAGACAATGAACATGACGACGAGGACAAAGATGAGCATGCTTAGAATGACTCCGCCTATTATCACTATTCAGGTTAGGGAAGGTGTGTTCGTAATATTAATTTATTATTAATTTATTACGTAATTTATTACTTAACTTTTTGTATAAATCAACAACCATTGTTAGCATATATGCAATACACCCACACATATACATCATCATTGTCGTCATCCTCCTAATTAGTCTTTACAAGGTCTGCACAAAATCTATATAAAAAAAAATCACCTACTACTACTTGTTGGTAGTGCTAACACAAAGCATGAAATAAAAATCAATCAATCAAATAAAAATATACATAAAAATGTAATTAGTGTATAAAATAACAAAGGTCAACTACCAGAAGAAGCACCAGTATGTAGATAATAAATAATTATGCTAATTATATCCATTTCTAAGAAACACACAAACAAACAGAAGCACGTACACAAACATCCCGAATGATAAAATTATAGCCAGAATAACATTAATTAAAATCAAATTACAATAGATTTGAAAACAAAAATTGAGATGATCAAGTGATCTAATGACAACCAGAACATTTTAAAAATGTTAAAAACTGAAAAATTATGTAAACAAAACAAATCATTCAGAGTGAACTTTCAGTTCATTCATTCTATTGCGCATAGTACAGCCCACTAATTCCTCATAGATTCATGTTTACAAAAAGAATAACAACAACAACAACAACAAACTAACAGGCTAGAATGACTGGCGAATTAAATATTGAACTTCCATCAGCATCATCCTCCAAGCCCTTGATTCCACTATACAGGTGATTGTCTTGTTCTTCTTGCTCACCTAATTTGGAGTTGATTAGTGAATTAGTGAGAGAGAGAGAGAAAAAGAGAGAAAAAACAGAGATACAGAGAGAGAGAGAGAGAGAGAGAGAGAATATGAAAGAAAAAAAGGGAGAGAAAGATAGAAAAGTAAAAGAACTAAACATAAAAAGAAAATACATAAAAAGAAAAAAATTTTTCTAATAAGGATTGAGAAATTCCTCAAACATCAAGCAAGTGCAAATGACGGATGAAAATCATCATTGACAGTCATGTGATTCAATTAAAGATGACGAAGAAGATGAGGATGAAGAAAATGAGGATGAAGAAAATGAGGATGAAAAGGATGATGATGGAGAAGAAGAAGACGATAATTTTAACGATGATGACCAAGATGGTGATGTTGAAAAGCCAAACAGTCAGAGGGGACGTGCAACAACTATCCATCCACTGTTAATCGACAATCACCAACGTAGAAACATTCCATTTAATGAACGTGAAAAAAATTAAACAACAAGAAAATTAAGAATTGGGCACACTTACTTTTTTCATCATCATTATTCTTATTATTTTGACTATGTGTAACTTTCTTATCACCAATATCTCCAGTATCTCCCTTCAAAACATCATCACGATCGTCGTCGTCGTCATCTTCATCATCATCTTCTTCTTCTTCCTCAAAATCACCATCTTCATTTTTGTCAATGTCATTTCGTGAGGTGGGGTCTGTTTGGTCTGGGCTGTTGGGGTCCAAATCTGAATTTTCGTTCAGCAATGAATGAATAAATGATTGCATCATTAATCATAATGATTACATCAACCAGTGAAAGAAATTTTATTATTTGAGTTTTAATCCTTGAAAAAAGCTCTTAAATTATTTAATTATTTGAACCTTTAGTTAATAGATGAATTGTGAGGAATGAATGAAAAAATGAATAAATTGGTGAATGAATTGATGACTGAATGATTCAACAGATGAATTATAATTGGAATATCAACAAAAGTGCTTGCCTACCTCCACTGGCATCTTCATCATCATCATCTCCACCTTCATCATCATCATCCCCATCGTATTCGTCATCTTCTTCGCCATCATTACTAATAAAACTATTGAAATCAGGACCAATGTTGTCCACATTATTATTATTCATAATACTATTGTTATTGTTATTAAAGGCATTACTACGGTGATCATCATCATCATCTACTGGGAGATGATTGTTATTGTCGTTATTGGCAGGGTGATTCTTAGGGGCCTGTCCGTCTTCCACATCATCATAGTCGCCACCTTCCTGATCGTCATCGTATTGATCATCTTCATCTTCGTCATCACCATCAAAATTATAATCACCAGAATACTGCAAAATTTATTTTTATTAAAACATTTTTAATTTATGATAAAATAAACTTTATTTTTATTAATTTTATAAATAAAAAATATTTCACCCCTAAATAATCTTGAAATAATCAGTACCGACAGCCAAAACAAAACAGTAAAATTTATGAAAATGAGGATTTATCTAGCGAACGATTTTAAAATGGCCCCAATAAAAAAAATGTACACTAACTGGGCTGTCATCATCATTCTTATTGTTGTTGTTCAAATCCTGATCTTCCCCGCTAGAGACATTTAACAGCAGAACAAACGCGATCAAAACTAAATACAAAACTTTCATTTTTTTCTAAATTATTATTTAACAAATTTATCAATTAAAACGATGTTATTATGTAAAATTTCAACGCAATGAAAAAAATTTTCACTAAATCTTATCTAAATCAATTTTTCACCATTTGTACGGCGGAACTTGTGATCAAGTTTAAATACCAATGCGCTTCATTAGTATATATAACAGTTCGGAGAATTTATTATTCAACAATACTAAGTGTTAACCTTTGTTCTCATCAACCCGTCACTCAATTAATTAAAGTATTCTAATTTTTCCTTCTTTTTCGTTCTTTTTTTTACAAGTTTGCATCTACTACGTTGTATTCCGTAAATAACTATGTAATGAATAGCGTAGAGCTGAATAATAGATGATTGACAATTGTTAAAAGAATAAAAGAACCTATGGATTGTTATTATTAAAAGACGGTTTATTTATTTTCACATACTTAAATATACCTTACTCATCCATAGCTATAAGAAATTAAGAAATACACATACACTGCGTTACACACTGGCACACACACGCACACACACACATACACAGACACACACATACACAGACACACACATACACATACACATACACACACACTTATGCATATAAGACACACACCTACCTATGTATATAAGAAATATGCCTATATGTAAATATAAGAGTTTCAAATTTAATTTGAAGTTTGTAGCTACATATATATAAACAGATATAAAACCATACAGACTAGTATTTAGCATATACGTATATATATATTAATAAAGATCACAGCGTTTCTTACAGTGCTCAATCTATATGATAGTTCTTCGATTCTTCGAATAATTCTCCGATCTACCAAGCTTAACTTGTTAATTCTATTAACAAAATTCCTATTTACAGAAGATGTCATTATCTACATGTATGCATATAGTACTATTTCGACTACCTAGTCTCGTCAGAGCAACATTATAATAAATTTTACATTTTTAAAGTTTTTAAAATTTCAAAATTTTTAAAGTTTTAAAACTACTAAATTATATATCCTATATATATCCTTTTTACAAAGAATTTAAAATTAACACTTTTACAATTTATAATTTAAATATTTTATAATTTTTCTTGGGCCCCTGCCTCCCCCCAAATGACGCCTCTGTATGAGATCAGTCAATCAATCAATCAATCAATCAACCAACCAACCATTCATTCGATCAACTAATCAACCAACCAATCAATGAATCATATTTGAAAAATATTTGCAAGGCTTGTTCAAACTCGAACAAACAATTAAATGTACAGATCTACAAACAATTTCGAGATTTTAGTAAAGAAAGAAAAACACAATAGTTGCTTTTATTAAATCAAGAAATATCCAAAAATTATATAACCAAATTAAAAAATCTAGAAATCAGTCAACATTTAATAAATAATTAAATAAATAGACATTATTAAAAAGATTGTTCAAAAAGGTAAAATTTAAGGCGACGACGAGAATGAAATGTAGTTTGTTTTGTTGGTGTGGGGCTGTGAAGCGAAAACAAACACATCACAAAAAACCAGTAAAAAGTCGCAAGAATAGTAGTCAGTCACCTACCTACAATTAAATTACTCTCAGGGCCCTAGCTTACTTATAATCATTAACTCAACTCACTTACCTACAAATTTGTATTTCTCGTTTTAGATGTTTCAAGTATTTTATTTAACATATTTTAGCGTTTTTATTTTACTTGAAGCTTTTTAACTAATGTTAAGCCCTAGCCTACCTACAATTGTTTAACTCATCTCAGTCCCTAACTTACCTATGAATTAAATTAAAGTCCGGTTCACGGTAAAGAAAATAGAAAGTTGAGGAGAAACATTACAACAACGACACCGAATGAATGGATGTTGTGTATGTATGTGTTGTATTGATGTGTGTGTGTATGTAAATGTGCGGGCGCGCACTCTCCAGAAACTTCACTCACTACCGACGAACCTCCATTGCACCGACCATCATCTGACACGCATCGATGGAATGAATTTGACCGGATACTGAAAAATAAATTGAAAAAAAAAATAATCCACTAAAATTAAAAACAAGCAATTGGAAAAAATAGGCAACTTATCTTTTTGAGATAACACTCAATCTTTGTTCAAATTCGAATACTTTCAAAGGTACAATGAGACAAAAACAAATTTACCTTTAACATTATCTTTGATTTGTCATCGGAACGATCATCATGAGACCACCATCTGAAACGTGCTGACGCCCACCACAGCCCACCTCTCATCATTCTGTAGACAAGTTTTTATTAATTACCGAAGTAGTAAATCAAGAAACAAAGGAACGAACAAATAAATGATTAACTGGATGATTGAACGATTGGTTGAATGAATAAATTAATTAATTAATCAACCAATGATTTAATGAATGAATAGAATGAATCAATGAATAAATTAATTGAGGAATAATTTGAAAGATAGTGATAAAATAAATGAATGAATGAGAAAAATAAAAAAAGAAACTAAATTATACTTCAAAAACTGTCGTTACTGTTATCTTCGAATTGTCATCGGAACGATCATCATGAGACCTCCAACTGAAACGTGCTGATGCCCACCACAGCCCACCTCTCATCAATCTGTAGAGATTTTTTATTAGCGTATTAGTAAATCAAGGAACAAAGGAACGATCGAATAAATGATAACTGAATGATTGAATAATTGGTTAAATGAATAAGTGAATGAATTAATTAATTAATAAATCAATGATTCAATTAATGAATAGAATGAATTAACGAATCAATTAATAGATGAATAATTTAAAAGGTTGAGGGATAAAATGAACGAATGAGAAAAATAAAAAACGAAACTAAACCTTACTTCAAAAATCGTCGTTACTGCACTTTCCATTGCACCGACCACCACCATCTGATCCGCACACAAAATGCCATCCGAACTTCAGTGTGTCAGTCGAACAGCCAACGAGCTGATTCTTCCTACACCACCATCATCATACGTAAATAATCATGAGACCACCATCTGAAACGTGCTGACTCCCACCACTGCCCACCTCTCATCATTCTGTAGACAATTTTTTTATTAGCGTAGTAGTAAATGAATGTTAGAATCTTAGAAGCAAAAAATTATAAAATGGAAATAATGGCAAATAAATAATAACTGAAAATAATAAAAAGATTAAAATGTAAAAAAAAACTTACCGTCGTCCATTCGACAAAGGCAGAATGTTGAATGCTTTCCGGTTCATACGTTGTCCTCCAAAACTGGTACCAGTCCTCCTCGAGATTGTTGTTGAAACACAGCCCGTGTTGATGGAGAAAGATAAAGAGAAGATTCTCATCAGAAAGCTTAGCGGTGCCTGCATCTCAAATTGCTTAATAAAAATAATCCTATCTACCTATTCAATTACCTTAACTAATCTATAAATTAATGGTACGATAGTCGAAAGTCCCCCTTCATTCTCCATCCTTGCACAGAGGTTCACCGACAGCCAGGGCACCGGATAGTAAACCATTGCCGTGCGGATAGTAGACTATTGCCATGCAGATAGTAAACCATTTGCCGTCCGGAAGCCGTGCGGGTAGTAGACTATGGTCGTGCCGCATAGTAAATCATTACCGTGCAGATAGTAAACCATTGCCGTCCGGATAGTAAACCATTGCCGGTTCACCACTGGCCACCAAGGCTTACCTCTGACAAGAGACTTCGAAATTCAGAGTCTATCGGCTATCGTACCCTCAACTTACCTATTCATTACAATTAAGCCCTAGCTTACCTAAAAATTACAAAACTCAAGAGCCCAATTCATTGGCCAATCGGCACCCACCCCACCACCTACGTAATGCCTTGGGCTCCAACTTATTAATAATATAAAACTTAAACCCTAGGTCTATTAATGAGTATGTGTTACAACGTAGCCTTAACTTACCTATTCATTACATTATGGTCCTAGCTTACCTAAAATTACAAAACTCAAGAGCCCAATTCATTGGCCTTTCGGCACCCACCCCACCACCTACGTAATGCCTTGGGCTCCAACATAATAATAATAATATAAAACTTAATAATTAACCTACCTATCGATACACTTACAGCGTTTTAATTTACATTAGAAGATTGTTCCTAGAATTACATTATTGTCCTTAACTACCTATGAAATTAAATTACTCTCAACCTTAGTAATAATAAATTAGAATGTGTAATGAAAATAAAATTACGCTCAAATACTAACATATGTGTTTATGTATGTATTTGTGCGTGTGTGTAATACGCTGATGCGTGTAATGTGGGTGCAAGAAAAAATAGAAGCGATAAACTTACGCGCCTACCTATCAACTACATTAGTGTTGGATGCTTCCTATCTATCCTACCTACAATTAAAATTATGCCTATCTAACCTACCTATATAGCTACTTAATGTAATTGTGTGTGTGTGTGTGTGCGTGTAAGCATTCTTACTTATTTTTAAATTACAGAGAAAAAAGAAAACGTATCCCAGCCAGGCGTGTATTCTTTGCCTCTGAATGAATGAACGTAGCCTGACATCTTCCATGATGAACTCCTCTGGAAGCTTCAGCCTGAATGAAATGAATGAAATGAAAAAATCTTATTTATTTAATTAATTTAAATGAAAATAGAGAAACGAGCCACGGTGAAACCCGCCAGCCGGAAAAGCCAGCCAACTGGCAAAAAGAACCGCAAAGAAACCGTAAAACGAACCCCAGCCAGGCGTGCATTTTTTGCTCCTGAATGAACGAACGTAGCGTGACATCACAACCATTCTGATCTTCCACGATGAACTCCTATGGAAGCTTCAACCTGAATGAATGAACCTGAATGAACCTAAATGAATGGAAAAATCTTATTTATTTAATTAATTTAAATGAAAATAGAGAAACGCAAAGAAGCCGACCGGTCGGCAAAGAAAAGAACCTCAAAGAAAGGTATCTATATAACTCTATATAACTCTATATAAGTCTATATAACTCTATATAACTCTATATAACTCTATATAACT